CATATATTTACTTTTTATGGACTTGGTTTTGAAAAATGTTAAGAGCATGACAAAATATTTCTGCTGCTCTTCAGTATTTTGCTGCGTAAGTTAGGACTCATGACATGATTTAATAATGCTCATGTGGAAAGGAAAAGCCTCCTTTATACTTTAGTGAGTTGTACTCTTAACCAACCTGAGACTATTGCCTGTACAGCTCAGTGAATGTACTTTAAACTTTATGAACTCTGATATTTCCTGGCAGTTATATCCATGAAGGGATGAAGGAAATCTTTCTCTCTGTCTTTCTTTCTCTCCCCCTTTTCTCTCTTGCTCCCCTTTTTCTTTCTTTTCCTCTTTCTAGCCCTCATTTTCTACCTTGTTATTGCGTTTGGATTGCAAATGTTCTGCAGATTTTGCACAACTGTACAGAAGAGTGGCCTTTCTGTAGCCCATTTTCAGTAATCCTATATTCAAGTTGTCTGGATGACAAATCATGTATTAACATTTGTATAGAAATCTGGATCCAGTGTAAGATTTGTACTATTAGAAGAATATTGTTTGTATAAACTGGACATTTATTTACTGCATGGGTACTGACTTGTATATTAAATTTGTGAGGTTTTTGTAAATTTCTCTTAAAAATGCTTGACTTGAAATGGATCGTGCTATTGTTCCAAGCATTTAGATTCTCTTGCTATTGTTTTACTGGACCAAAAGTAAATATATTCATATGAAAAACTCTTTATATCTGATGGATGTATATGCACATTGTGTAGTTGATTCCTTGTCAAAACCAAGGCAGTTCAGAAGAATTAGATCTGTTGCTATGCAACAGCCATTCTGCCTGCACTTTACATTAGTAAAGTTAGCTTGATTGCTTTAAAGGTGAAAATTAAACATTACAGTTTTTTTAAGCTAGTCTAGTGACAAAGAACTTGTGTCCTCTCCATTGTGCTGCCTTCTTTTAAGACTATTAAATGTTCTTCTATATATATTTTTATTGTATTAACTCTCAGCCTAGAAAGGGAACACTGTAAAATGAAGTACAATAAATTTAGCTTTTAAATTAACATCTGTGGCTCAAGATTCACTTTACTCTATACCAAACTGATTCTGTGGCATCTGACCATTTTGTCTGCATTTCACATATCCATGAATCTTAAAGTGCCCCAGTGTGACTTCAAACGCTGCCAGGGTGGCCAAAAGGGAGTGACACTACTGCTGATTTGTATGTAGGCAGACACTGAGTAAAGACTTCTGAAAACCTTCACTTAGCTCCCTCCCCTTTGTACTCTTTGATGAAAGTAAACCCTTTTTGACTGCAGGGTTCTCTCGTGTAGCAGTTCAACAGCAATGAAGCATTTTACCCTCATGAGCAGGTGTGGTAAAACAGTGTGTGGTGCCAAGGTAAATGCCAAGGCATCAGTAACATCCTGTTACTCCTGTAGGAAGCTTCTTGGAGGCTAAGGATAAGGATACCCACTCAGTTCTGGCCATCTAAGCTAGCACAGGGTTTGGACACAAAATAAATGCACATCACCAGTAGTGCGCATCTTTAAAATAACACCAAATAAATATCTGGAAGGTGTTCTACAACAAAGGCCACTGAGAGAGAAATGGCTTCTATCAGACAAACACTGTTTTAACTTTCAGCTGTAGCTGAGTCTATGCAGTGAAAAGTCCATGCTTTCTGTCCAGTAATTTCATGCTGGTTAGCTAAGACATTCTTGCCTAATAAGTAGTATATCAAATAATACCTTTTCCTTGGCAATACTTGCTACTAATTCTTGTAGGCATCAATTTTCTAGTCTTTATACAGCTCTCTTTTCTTTTGCTTAGCCATAGCATAAAAACTCAATAGCACTTACCAGCTGGGGAAATTACCTCTGATTAAGAAAACAGAAAAGACGGATTATATTTTTTAATATATGAAAAATCCCACTTGCAACACCTACTAATTGCTATCTAGGTATTATCCAAAAGTCAAGGATTACAATTCTCACTCATCGCCTCGAAGCATGCTACTTGCTACATCCTTGCTCAGTGAGATCAGCTTCCAGCTTTACAAATCCTCAATGTGTTTCCTGTGTTGGAGCCAGATTTTTTTGCCTGTTTCCACCAAGCATTTGGCTTATGCAAGCAAAGCTTCCACTCTCACATTCAGAGCCACTGCAGTTTTCTTCTTCTCCAGGACCGTCCTGCTCGCTCATCTCCTGGGATGGATATTCCTCGGCATGGGAGCTCAGCAGTTGGGCAGCTTCTTCTGGTGGCTGTCGCTGTCCTGCTCCTCGGCCACCTCGGAGAGCTGGAGCACGGCGCACTGCAGCCCACACCACGGCAGAGGGGCCTTGCAGATCTCTTCCCAGCCATCGTTGTCGATGTCATAGCCAACCACGTCTTGTGTGGACACCTCCAGCGAGTTTTGCCATTTCTTTCCCCCAATAAGAAGAGCTGTTTCCTCTACCACTGCCAGGCCGTAGGAAAATCGATCGTAGATCAGTGGTTTCAACCGAGTCCATTGGTTTTGATCCGGGTCATACCTTTCTATTTCAGAGAAAGGTTCATATAGTCCCAGAAAGGTGAAAATGGATCCCCTGATTGTTGCCATCTGATGCCCAAACCGAGCGATGCTCATTGGGGCACGTTTCACCCACTGCCCTTCAAGTGAGCTCAGAGAATAAACGTCACTGCTTGTGCTGGCTGGGGCCGAGTACTTGCCCCCAGAGATGTATATGGTGTTCTTGCAAACAGCACTGGCATGACCATGTATCCTGCATGGCAGTTCCCTGGTCTTGGTCCATCTATCCCTGCTGATGTCATAGACTTCCACAGATGAATGCAGCGACCCGTCCTCACCCCTTCCACCAATGGCAAAGATATCCTTGCCTAGGACACAGCAAGAAAACTGGCATCTCTTTTCCAGCATGCCCGTGATTTGGGTCCATGTGTTAAATCTTGGATCATACCGATGGACCTTGTTTGTAACCAATAAGGTCTTTCCAATTTTAGCATCACCCAGGGTACCACTTTGTATTTCCCCTCCCAGGACATAGAGGAAGTTCCCCACCACACACACGCCGTGGTTCTGCACCCTGTCCTGCAGCTGCGTGAGGGTTCTCCATTTGTGATTGTAAACATCGAAGGCCACCACATCGGTGACAAGTCCCTCGCTTGCTGTGCCTCCCCCCAGCAGAATGATCCGAGTTTTCTGGTTCCTCAGTGTGGTGGACTTATCCTGCAGGACAGGCTGTTTGAATCCAGATGTGTGATAATTTATTGCTTTTATGATCATGCACTTAATACCTGCTGAGAGGGACACTTCTGACTGTGTGTAGGTTTTTCTCAGCTCTTCCACTGGGATGAGACCATATCTTATGTGCTCTAAAAGGCTGCTTGCATGATCCAGCCTGGATTTATCCTGCTTCAACCATAACAGGACAAGATTCAACAGGCGGCATTCTTCCACCATGGGGAGATCTGGTGATTGAATCACTGCTAGCAAAGACCTGAAGTTCAGCTCAAGAAGTCCTGACAAATCCATGTCCAGAAGCTTCCAGACATTTTTGATAATGTATTTTTCTGCAGCTGCTAAGGCATCTGGCAGGTAGAACCTCCTGGCCACATTGGCAGAGTAGCAGCAGTTTTCCAAGGCAAGATTGTTAACTAAGTACTGATTGCACAAGGCAATAGCATCAGTCACTTGCAAGTAGCTTGCAGCTTCCAGGGTATCCTCCAGGCTTTCAAAGGAAAGGGGCAGCAAGGATGTGTAAATGAAATCCAGGATGTGCTGGAGCCCAGTGGGTGAGACAACTTGTAGGTGAATGACACTGGCTTTAGACTCTTGGGTATAACTTTTGAACATGGCTCGGAAGTAGTCGCTGGAGCATGCCAACAAGGACTTGTGTGCAGGAAACTCGTTTTCTTTCACTTTCAGCAAAATGTCACAGAGAAAGCCCTCTGATCTCAGGCTCTGGTACTGGGCGAGCACGGCGGTGCAGTGTGCTTTGCAGTAGGACAGGAAGTAGCTCATGGCAGACAATGCAATGCTTTTCCCTTGAGCTATTAGAGCTAAAATGCAATTAGATATTGAAACAGCTGCCTTACTCAACAGCCATTACTTGAATGCCCAGCAGACTTCCAGCTGTTAGAGAAAAGCCCAACCCAAAAAAAACAAGTCAGTCTCTTGCCTGACATATGGGGACAGTTAGTAGATTTGTAGTGAATTCAATTCATTCCTTTATAGAGAAAATAGCTGAATGTGTATCAGCTGTAGTATGCTTACTTTTCTTGCCTCCACAAGCTGTGCAAGGATGAAGGGTCCACAGCTGTGCCGAGCACTTGCCTGGCTGGCCATCAGGTGACAGATGAGGGAGCTAGGTGACGGTCCCAGTAAATGGCCCTTGGTGTCTGCTCAGCCGTCGCCCCCAAGCCCTCTTGCTGCTCGGGCAGACCAAGGGGATCCTCTCTGGCTGCCAGCGCGTGGCTCTGAGCAGACACGGGCGAGAAGAGAGCGCCGACTTTTCTCCTCTTGTTTGTATTTTGAACTCGGATCAGTTCAGACGTCACCGCCCTGGGACAGCAGCCCCCTTTCCGTCCTCTTTCCGCGCGGTCCTGGGAGGCCTCAGCCGGAGATCAAATCAGCACCCAGGGATTATTACGGGAAGATTTTCTGAGCCCATAAATCTTTCCCCGGCAGCCACTAAGACAACCAAAATACCGTGATTAGTCACTGGTTCGATTTGACATGCATTTCTGGCTCTCTGCTTCACGTGACCCCTCCGTAGCTCACAGCTACCAGAATAGCCACAGGCTCATCCCCTCGTCCCCCTCGCCTGGGAGCCAGCCCTGGGCGGGCGAGAAATGGGGCCAGGGACTGGGCAGGCAGAGGAGCTTCCAGTGGCAGCCACAGCCAAAGCAGCTGACTTGGAATGACCTGGCTGGAAATCACAAGGGTAACACATTCGCACAAAGTGGTGACAAAAATAGATTCCCCCAGTTCGGCCATAATAAACCAAATTCTGTTTATAGAGGAGGCTTTGCATAATTGTGCTCTCAGTTACCAGCTGGGAACAAACCCGGAGCCCCCAGGGGTGGGCCAGCGCTGTCTTGCTCAACTTTCTCACTTTCAGTTTGTCCCAATTAGAAGCACTTATACAGGGATTATCCCTGATTTTCACCTGGGCACTTCAGGGTCTAATTTCTACCAGGAATAGCAGCTCTGGGCAGGCTACACATTCTTACCTCTTAAAGCTTGCTTTTATTTCTTCTTTTTTTTTTCCTGCGTAACCCTGGGTGAAGGTGTTCAGGAATCTCCTCCTGACACCTTTCTTTCCAAATCAAACACCCTCAGGACTTGCTGACCTTGCCAGGGTTGATAAATGCCTGATCATTTTGCTGCACTGTGATCCAGCAGACTTGGGAGCAGAGAAGGATCCCACAGGACTGGAAAATTTCACTTTTTGCTTAAGCCCAAGGTAAAGCCTTTTTACTGTATTTGTTTATACTTATTTATGTGATGTCATAAAATTCTGGCTTACCTCTGTAGCTGAGCAGTGTTTGGAGCTGACTGAATCCTAATATGGACTGTGCATGCTGTGTGACTGTCCCAGTGAGCTTAAACTGTCTTGCTAAACAGACTGATACCTACACACGCTCTGCTCTGTTTGTGGGGAAGGACTCCAAAAACTTTTTTTTTTTTTTTTTTTTGTTGCTATATAGCTGTGAAAATTGATTTCCTGCTTGAATCCACTTTCCATCATGACATTATGGACCACAAATCAGGATCTTGCTAAAAGATCTTGCCCTTTGCTGGCCACACAACACGTATGGGCAGTAGGGATGAAGGAGAAAAGGGATGCTTGTTTCTTTTTCCCAGCAGTTTTGCCAATGTCCAAGTTGGGACAACTCTAAGGTATTTCAGGTGTTAGTGAAACTGTGCAGTCGATTCCAAGCTTCAGTTTTGATACTTCTCCTGTTTTGGAAGTAGTGACCAAAGGCCAGGTACCTCTGTCACCCCTCAGCAGTCATGAGTCCTGGTGATGAGGGACCAGGCCTTAAATGCTCCCACTCGTGGAGATGCTGCTTTCCCCAGTTAAACCCCACCAGGTACCAGATTTCTATAACACAAGGTGCAGATAAATCTCCCCTGTTTTAATACAGCAGGTGGGCACTGCACACCACAATTTCCCTGGAGCCTGAGGTGTGAGACAGCAGTCCTTGTCCTCCACCAGCCCTTGGGCTGTGCTGCCAAAACTGCTCTGACACAGCCAGAAGTGATGCACAGGGAGAAAAACCCAAAACCAGAACAGCAGAGGGGCCTCTGTGGCCCAGGCCAGGTTGTCAGCCTCCCTGACTGGTGACTCCCAAGCAGATGTAGCACAGCAGAGGTGAGCACTGGCTGGAGGGGCTGGGGAGGCAGCACAGGAGAGACCCCGTGCACAGAACCACAGGACCTGGCTGCTGAAGGGCTGTGCTGGTACCACAGGGTAGCTGGGACCAAGGACACAAATCAGTCCCACCTCCCCAGATCCAGATGTACCAGAAAGAGGTCAAATGCATGGCTTGGCCAGCTGAGGCTGTTGCCAGCAGCAGCCAAGGAATTATTTCTGACCCCCATATGGCACTCCTGCCTCCCAAGTGATGCATTCCAGACAAAGGCAATGTGCCTTTTCCTAACCCCCAGCACCAGTTTGGCTGGAAAGTGTGAAGTACCAGCACAGCTCCAGCCACAAGCTCTGTCATTTTAGAGAGGCCAAGCCAGGCTCAGTCTGAGCATCCCTGCCTGTGTCCAGAGTGATTCCATGTTAACCCAACCAGGTGTGCATCACTTGCTCTCCCAATGAATTCCATCCATGGGTGGCTGTTTGTACAGGTCAGCTGCTAACACTGACTGAACTGAACTGATTTAACACCAGTGCCAGGTAAGAAGGTCCCATAATTGTATGCAGATTTGCTGTGCTATCTCTCAGACCTACTTCATCTTCATGGCAAGCCAGCTAATGCAAGTAGTAAGAATCATAATCCTTATAAAGCTGTTTATTTGCCTGGAGATTTTTTTTTCTTTGGCTTATAATTGAAATAAAATCACATCCTTTCCAGTCCCTTGCTCTGGAGTGATTAAAAAAAATATCATTATCAAAATGAGGTTTTTCCTTGCTTCACTTCCAGGCAGTTAGCCTTGTCTAACTAGGGAGCCTGCTCAGCCAAGACCCTCCTTTGTCAACAAACAAATTATCTTCCTGCAGAAGCTCAGGTCTCCAGCACCTCTGGAAGAATATTTAACATCCATTAGGAAGAGAACAGACGGTGACTAAACAGCTGACTTACAAATCCCAGCATGAGACCTAGCACTAAGTGGGATGCAGTCAAACCAGGATCTTATTTTCCTTGGGTATAATTTGGAAGATCAGATCTAATGTTTCACTCACTAGATGATGCTTAAAATTAGGGAAATATTAGTGTTTCAATGATGCTGATTTGTTTGGAATAGATAATACATTTTTAATCATGTGCATCATTTAGACTTTAAATTAGATTTAGAATTCAGGCTTTCAGCATATTTTCTGTTGAAGTGATTGCTCTATTACAGTAGGCAGTCTGAAATAAAAAAAACATTCAGATGTGTGCTGTGAAAAATGTTGGCTTCCACACATGCAGGTTTTTTGCTATACAAAATTGAAAAATGGCCCAAGTTGCAATGCCATGCTCACTTTAATATTTCAAGTAGGCCATCGGTTAATAAACAATTGAATTGTTATTTTAAATGTTGCCAATTTTTTTTAAGGGGAAAGATTATAAAAAGAGTTGTGCAAGTGATACTAAGCTCATTACTAACAAGTGGCTTACTGTAAAATATTTGTTATAAAAACCCACAGCAGAGGATTACGAGGCTACATTTTGTTCCAAAAGAAATTAGTGCAGTCCAGAAGACAACAGATTAAATATTTCAGATGCTTGATAATGTACTGCATGAACAAATAACAGCAAAATGAGCCAAGTTATGAGTATAGCCATACAGGTTTCCTAGAAGTGCTAATCAAAAAGATCATATTGATTTAAGTTGTCTTGTAAAAATCTTTGGACTACAGTCTGTTCTTCATCCTTGAATAAACATTCACAGTAGTATTTGGGTCAGCACATCTATTTAAAGCAAAGGATGTTTAGCCCAGGAAAGCAGTCCTTAAGAGCAAAATAGTAAGAGGGAGGAATTTTCATGCAGTGTCTGGTGAGATCACGTCTGTGTATAAAAGCAAAAGAGAAGGTTCCCAGCTTGCATGAGGTGGGCTGAGGCTGTGAGGGTTCCATTCAGGAAGGGGGCTGCCCGTCAGCAGGCTGGGGCTGCCAGTGGCTTTAAGCACTGTCCCAGTGGTGCCCACAGGCCACTGTCCCTGTGAGCTGGGGCAGCAGGAAGGCAGCACAGGGCAGTGCCTCCCCCAGCCTGTCAGAGAAGTTCTGCACACCCCCAGCACCCTGTATCCACCCATGGCCACCTCAGGGGGGTCTGTGTCTGGCAGCAAAAGCTTTGAGTGCAAGGCTCCATCTGCCTGTGGGGAGGAAAGAGGTTTATCATGGCCACCTCAGGGGGGTCTGTGTCTGGGGACAGTGCTAGCAACAAAAGCTTTGGGGAGAAAAGAGGTTTAGTAGGGTCAGGAGCCAGAGCAGGGACCCCAGTTTGCTGCAGGACCACGGTGCTAAGCCATGGCTGCGTGGCACTCTTCTGTGTTCTGTGGAAAAAGAGGAGGAAAGGAGGAACTACCAGTGGCACACCTGGGCTGGGAGTGGCCAGTCCCAGCTGGGTGACTCCAGCACAAGCTACACCTGTGCAAGAAAGCATCCTGTGTCAAATTGTGAAAGGAAACAGAAAATAACAGACTTTCAATCAGACAGTGCCTCATTTATTTCCTCTCTCTGTTTTTTCAGGTTTCGTTTGCCTCCCATGAAGACAGAAGCTGTTCTAGCTTTCACTGCCATCTCAGTGGGTTAGACATGAGCTTCTCTGGTGAATAAAAAATGAGTTAGAAAATTTTAAACTTGGGTTCCCATTCCAGAGCAACTGCAGTGGGATGAGTCAGGCACTGCTGCCACAGGATAATGAAGGAGAATGTGTATTTTAATGAGCCCATTTCAGAGCAGATGCACTAATAGCTTTCACAGCATCTCACAGCTGAGGGTGGAGGGCTGCTTGGGGTTCATCTGCTCCTGTGATGGCCAGGTGGCACCAGAAATGCTCTGCACTGAGCCCTGGCTTTCACCCCTGGGCAAGCAGTGCTGCTGGGGCAGAGAGGGACCTGCACCCCTGCCCAGGGGCATCTTCCCTCTGCATCCAGCTCAGGGATCCCACAGACACCTCTGGCTGCTGACCTTGCACAGCTGAAGCTGCTGAAGCTGCTCTGCTCATGGGTCCCTTCTGCACGTATGGAAGCCCCTCTGCTATAAAAGGAACATTTCTGACCCCTGTGTGGCATTCCTGCCTCCCAAAGACCTTGGGGCTGGTTGAGCTGTGTTCCCAACCTTTGTCTGCTTGGATTCATGTAGTGGCAACAGCTGCAGCTTGGGCTGTGTGACCACTCATGGCAGGAGAGCTGGGCTCTCCCTTCTGCCCTGCCCTGCACACAGCCCACTCACCCTGGCCTGATCTCCATGGAGATACATGCATCCAGCACAAAACTCCTACAACTGGGATACACACCTCAGGTCCAAGAAAAGGATAAGGACATGGGGACTAGCCTCCCACAGTTCAATCATCTTTGAATGCATTTACTTGTAGAAGGAGGATGAGTTTTTATAGGCATAGAGATGTAAGGCACAACCAGTGCTCTGAGACCACAGAGGAGAAAACTGACATTTTCCTGTACAGGGACAACACAGAGGTGAACAAAGCTGCAGTGTTGTAAGTAAAGCTGCATGTCTCTGCAACCAAGGTGCTTTTCACATAACCTATGAGGATTCAGCTCTACCATCATCTTTGATTTCCTAACATCCATGCAAATGTTGTCCAAGACATGGATTGTTGGTGAGCAAAGTAAAGGTTACAGTGCAATCAGCTGCTGTTGCTGCATGGGACAATGAGGTCCTGATGTCTACACTCAGCTGGTCACTGGAAGTGTTCCTGAAGTCTGTACACTATTGTCATCATTGTTGTGATCTCTGTCAGCAGCACCACCACATCACTCAGTGAGTTGGACTTGGTCCTTCCATGGTGTGTAAGTCTCAGGCTTATCCTTGGCACTGAAAGGATTGCACCTGCACATGCTGATCCTTTTCCATTTATTCACAAGCTCTCAGGTTTGAGAGTGGGAGAGCACCCATGGGTGAAGTGCAGCTGGAATAAATTGCACATGCCAAAGGATGAAGGATGGATGACAAGCCCCCAGGTGTCTAGAGGGCTTTTTTCCCTCAATGGCTCCTGACTGAATAAAGCCATACTGGAGCATGACAAAGGCACTGATGGGATGTGTGTCATTACCCCCCTAATTTCATGAGTTACTGACTGGTGTGTGACTAGCAAGCCTCTCTGATCCTTTGTCAGGCTGATCTCAGAGCCAGTCTATAATGGCATAAGGTACTGGTGGCCCTGCTCACCAAAATGGGAGAGACACAACTCCTCCACACCAGACACAGTCTCTAAATTCCATTCCTGAAGAAAATTCCTAGGGTAGTTACAGAAACTGTGTATGCCACATTTTCTTGCCCAGGCCAGTGTCCCAGCAGACCATGCAGGATTTCAGTTATCTTCCCTCTTTCCCTGGTGCCACCTGGGCATGCCAGAAACTGTGGATAGCAGTGAGCCAAAACCCTCATCTCCAAGGCACTCTCCAAGAACCAATGTACTATGAGCTCACTTTTATTAATTTTGAGTTCTTATGACAGGAACAATGCAAATATTGACTCCATCATGGGAGTGCAAAGGTTTGCCTGCACAGAAAAAACACACGGTATGCCCAAAACAGTTGTTCTATATTCAGTAAGTTTATTTTGGTCTCATGTTGGGATTGACATAAGTGACTCTTGAAGGGAGTGACCTCTCATGCCAAGCCCCAGCAGTGTGCACCAGTGCAGCAGCATCTTCCTGGTACAACAGCAGAGTTTTCAGAGGACCTTTGCATTTTGCCTCATGTGGGAAAATCATTGCTCTATGTTAGTTCTTCTGTCACACCCAAGAAAGGAAACCATAGACAAGTGAAGAAAAAGCAGGTGAAGAGGACAGATGGACCTAAAACTCTTTGGGGCAAAACTCAAACTTTGAAATGTCTATGAGTAACACACCTTGCCAATACTGCAAAGACTTACTGGTCCATTGGTCTTCCAGGTGGCCCATCTCCTCAGGCAGGTGATATCTCTCTGCAGAACCACGGGTGGCATATCTCTGCAGAACCACGGGTGGTGTCTCTCAGCAGAATTTCAGCAGAATGTCTGACACTGTGAGTCAGCAGCCCTTGGAAGCCACTCCAGCCTTGCCGGGGCAGCCAGCAGTGCCCCAGGGCAGGCATTCCTCCCCAGGAATGCTGGTCAGCCAGAGGTGTGGGCTGGGCTGGGCTGGCAAAGCTCCTCCTGCAGGAAACAAACAGTGGCTTTGGGGGTGAGGGTGGGAATACAGTTCAGCGGGATGCCACTTCTGCCAGAAAATTCTTAGTCCTCACACAGAAAAAGCCATTTGCACCTTCCTCCTTCGTTTAAGAAAGCAGTGCTGATGTCAAGGAACCTCCTCTGATCCCAACAGAGTCATGTCCAAGGGGAGGATGCTAATGAGAGCTGAGGCTCAGTGAGAAATGTGGTTAAATGGAGCTACCACACAATCATGTCAATTCCATAGCCTAGCATTGAAAGGAGGAAGAGAATAACAATAAATATATATGCCTCAATTTTTAATCAATTTTTTTAAAATTACAAGTAATGACATAATTAATATTTTCTGGAGGTCATTCTAGGACAGTAATACAGTGATTTAGGCCAGCTTGACCATATTGAAAGGGTGTGACTATGGCTTCCCTACCTTTTGTCCTCTGCCAGTCTTCCTCTTTGCTGAACCATGGTCCAACAAGCAAGTTACCACAAAGAAAATTTCCTGATTTGCACTGTGAAAATGACCAATGTGGTCAGAAGAAACCTGATTTCAAAAGGTGATTCAGTTTATATGTGTAGAGCAGTAGATAATCTCTCAGCCTGCACCTTCACTTAGCTCACAGTAACATATGAATATGCCCACAGCCCTGGCAAAAAAAAAAAAAAAAAAAAGGAAACAAAAACAAAAAACACCAAAAGAAAAGTCAAAATATTAACTTCACAAATTAGACTGGAGGCAGAGTTTCAGCCCATCATTGTACAGGCAGATACTGTGCACTGCTGGTATAGCACTTCATTACACCAGCTAAGCCAAAACTTCTAAAAAAATTTATTGTATTAGGTAAATTCTCCCATACTTCTCAGCATCAGCACCATAACATAATTTCCAGGGTTTGAAGATTGCAGTGTCTGGAAAGAAAACACTCAAGTTCAGGACGTACCTTGAAATAGCCATATCCACTCACTTTTGACACACACCAGCTGTACACGTAAAATAAACAGTCTGTGCAATCAAACTGCACACCCTGATATTTCTGCTACTCCTGACTGTGATTTAGAGGCTGTAAGTTGAAAGTATAAACAGAATATGAAAGCCATACAAGTCACCTGTCTGTTTTTCCCCAAGCAGCTTTATTTGCCTTTGATGATACAAAATTACTCTTAGAAGTCTAACAGATCTTCTGCAGGGAGCTATGTTTTGCAATTTTCTTCAAATGAACCTTGTGGTTGAATAAGTGTTTTCAGCCCAAAGTTTACAGACTTTTATGGAAATAGAGACTGGTTTTGGTTCCTTCAAAGCCAACAGAAATTTTGTCAGCAACTCTGGAACAAGCAGAAACAACTTTCTTAGCACAGAGAAGCTCACGAGGCTGTCTCAGCTCAATTTTTCAACCTTATATGCCAGCTTTCTCACCTGATATTCAGGGTATAATCAGCTCCCAGTGGTCCTGTTAGAAAAAAGGCCATTTTAAAGATCAGACCCTTTACAACTGAGCCCCTTATCTCCTAGAGAAGAGTCTGGTGAGGGTTTCTACCTACAGCACTTTATTTTTAATGGGTTAACTCTTGCTCTGTAGAGATTGGCAGTGGCTTGTATGGAGTGAGCAGGCCCTGGTGAGCAAGGCTGGGGAAGGGCAGCAATAATCTCTGCTAGGATGTTCTCATTCTGCAGCCTCCACTGATGCTTCAGGGAGCAGATCCTCGGGCAGCAGTGTTATGTGGGTGCCCCTGCTGATCTCGCCTGGGTTACTTCAGAAGCAATATTGTTTCCTACTGCTTCAAATTCTGGCAATGTTTAATTAAATTATTAATAAAAATAATTAATAAAAAAGGTTGATTTCTTGGGGTTTTTTCCCTGCTAGTCAGATCAGGCATTCTCCTGATCTTTCTCTTATTTCCTGAAAAGAGTTACTGGAGAAAATACTGCATTTCTACAGCTTCTGGAATTGCAACACATTGCCACAAGTCCACGAAAAAAAAAGCATTGCAGAGAACTTCAGTTCCTACAGGCCATTTGTGGTTTCCCATGTACTGAAATTCTCAACTGGAAAGACAAACAAGAGGATAAATAGGCATAGCTGAGACACCAGAAACAAAAGTATTCAGGTGACTTTCAAAGGCAGAAAGAGCAGTTAGAAGCCAAGGTGCCATCAGGCAGCTAAACAATCCTAATGGCCACTGCTCCTCATGGCCATGTCCCTCCTGCTTACTGAAGTGCAGTGATTCTGTCATCAAGGTGACACCAGACTGTCAGGTTTGTTCAGGACAGTGCTGTGAGCAATGGGCACTTTTGGAACACTCAGAAGGTGCTGGAAAACACCCTCCCATGGGGCCACTACTGGAAGTCACTGCAGTCAATAAATCCTTTTGCTCTCAATTGTTTGGGTTTCTCCTAGAAACAAATATTTACCAGCTTCTGGTTTGGACAGTCTTCTAAAGGTCGCAAATGCTCGCTCCAAGGGGAGCCAGGCTATTCAACCTTAAACTATTTAACCTTGGCTTCCTGTGGCAGGCTGCACTGCCATAAAAGCAGGCATCACTATGGGACGTATGTGCAAGGATGGGGGCGTAAAGTTCTTCTCCCCTTGGCCCACCTCAGCGTGTTATTTTTAAAAGCTTGTGTGTTCAGTGATGAAAATAGAGATCTTCATTCTGCTTATCCTTTTGGGTGGGTTTGATGTGTTGGGTGCTAATTGTATGCTGGGAAATTAGAATTACTTTCTCATTTAAAAAATGTGGATGGAGGGAAGAGAAAAGGAATTTCTTGTGATTGTTATTAGTGGTGAAAATTTGTATTAGGAATAAAAAAGGGTTCAGGTTTTCCAAAACAACTTTAGTCCTTCTATTTCCCCTACACAACTATAGGTGGGAAGCTGTAGCTCCAGCAAAGCTTCAACTCAGCTACTAGTCTCAGCTTCTGAAGACTATTCAGACATGAAATTATCTCTATCAGTATTTCTTATACCTGCCTTTCATTTCATCATGACCAAAAATTCCAACCAGGAGAATCACTGGGGAAGGTATAATCCAACTTTTTGTCTTGACTCTTTTCAGCATAATTTCTAATTACACCAATCACTGCATGCTCATTTGGGCTCCTCGCTTGTGAAGATAAAAAATGTGTTCTGAGCAACACCTTCTGCATGGTGAAGTGGTTTGGGGTTTGACTTTTAAACTTTAGTCATCTATCCTCCTTTTTTTCCTTGTTTTGGTTTTGGTCTATTCTCTAGTGGCATTAGAGGAGGTGGAGCCTCCCAGGACTGGGAACCACTAGCTCTTCTGAGTGTGAGCTTTCGTGCTTGGGTTCAGCAAGAACCAGCTCACTTCCTTTAAGACTCATTATTTTTGTCATCTGACCTAGAAAAATCACAAGACCAAGGTCCCCCCTTGCATGTAGGTCAGTCATGTCTTGGGAAGTACAGGGTTTGCTTTCTCACCTCTGGTAGGGAAATTTATATGGTTGTCATAATTTTCCAATTTGATTGCTGTACTGAGTGTTGTGTGTTTCCTGCAGAGGCATAACATGTAATATTACAGATACATTTTATATATATATATATATGCAGGCCAATAATAACAGCTTTAAATTAGGAAAGAGTTTCCAACAGTAAAGATAACAAAAGGCTAGGACAAGTTGCCTAGGGAGGTTGTGAGGTTGCCATCATGCATGGCATAATCTCTAAAGTGTGCTGTAAAAAATATATTCCTTACAAATCTGCCTGGAGGCGAGGAGATGGATTAGATGGCATTTTGAACCCCTCTGAGGGCTATACTTAAGGATCTTCTGCTCCTAATAAGCATTCAGTCACAAAGTCCTCAGGCTTTGGTGATTCACACAAGTGATTTTCTAAATAGAGGTGTTTTACTGAAAAACAAAAGCTTTAAATAGGAGAAAGCCTGGCATGCATGCTGGTGTGTGATGCTTTGGAGACATCATAATTGCTGTTTGCAAAATTTACCAAGCATGTCAGTAAGCTGAAAATACACAGGACAGGGCATGCAAAGTGTCTGCCTGAAAGCACTGCCTCTCTTCACAGGAAAAGCCATTGGGAGGTCAGTGCCCAACATCACTGCTCTTTATAAAGCTGCTTCCCAGAGATGTCATGACTTGAGAACTTCTGCTGAGATAGATCCATAAAAAATGCATTTTTGACAACTGAATGCAATAATGTGGAAATGAACTCCACTATCACTGATGTCAGAGCTAGTTTTTTCTTGTTTTTTTCTCCTACATGTCATAAAGATGAATAAAACAGCTAATTTTCTTTTTTATATTGGTAGAGGAGGAACATTTCTTGTTCTGGATATTAGTAACTTGCATTTCTGGGTGTCACTTTCTTCTCTCTTTTCTTGAGGAGAAGGAACAAGATGTGGAAAATATCACTAAGCCAAAAAAACCAATAAGCAAGACTAACAACAGCCATATTCTTCTGATCCATGCTGTACCATACCAAGTTGAAAGAGCTGCAGCAGAGAGACCCCCTTGTAGAACTGGAAGCTGCTTTTGGTAAAGGTTTGCCAGATGATGCAATGCCAGTGAGACTGCTGGGATACAACGAGACAAATTCTGGAGGAATTATGCCTCCACATTGTGTTTCCTGAAATCCTGCAGTGCAGAATCACTTCCCCAATGTGCTGCTCCAGCAGGACAGAATGACTTCACAGGGGAAATCACAGTCACATAAAGAAGCTCACAGAGGGATGAGATAGTCCCAGCTTTGTGGGGAAGGACTAAAAATCCTGGGCACTGGGCTTTTCCCCCACAGGTGTGAGGAGCTCCCTGAAGGACAGCAGGGCAGGAAGCCTCAAGCAGGCTAGATGGGTGCAATCCCAGGAGAGGCTAGCAGAGCTAGCAGAGCCTGGGTCTTGCTGAAGGGAAGAGGAGGGAAGCAGAGGAGCCTTCCTGGCTTGCCTCCATCCCAGCAGGAAGGGTTTTGGAGGCTGCGGTCCCACCTCATGTCCTTCTAAATCAGGCTCCTCCAGAACTCCTGATCAGCTGGGGCTCTTTTCCAGGTGGAGGCTGGTGCTAAATCCATGGTGCACCACAGCAGAGCTTCACCTGCCCCTGCAGCTGACCTGGCCTTTGGGTTCAGGTCAGAGCACAACTGATTTCAGCTGCCTTGCTGGATGCGTGGCATAGGCAGAGCACGTTTCTCTTCTCTCATGGGCACCCCACACGTCCCATTTGAGTCATGATTATATGAATTTGATGTCAAATGAATTTTCTCAACTGTGTGGTGCCACCCAGTGCCATTTTCCTAATCTCCGCGGGGCTCTTACCCCGCACACTG